AATCCAAGCCATGCGTGCCAACGAGATGCGTGACAGGTGAGCTAGGCCGACCGAAAACGGCATGTGTAAGCGGCCATGTCGACTACCGTGGGTACGGGCAGCTAGAGTACCCCCTCCTCCCCTCCCCACTTCCTAGACCGAAGGCTGGCCCAAAAGCGACGTCGAAGTTAAGTGCAATGTCGAAATGCTTTAACCATGAGTCGATCCAAAAAACGTATTCGACGACCGATAGTAGTGCGAATGTCAGTGGTATTGGAAGGGTTATAACCGGGTGCGGCGGCCGTGGGAGGAGCAGAGGTTAGGGGTCAGAAGTGTTTACCCTCGGTTTGGCGGTGCCTTGGCGACAGCAGCCTTAACCCAGCCGACGCTAACCATGTCCACCTTGTCTCCACGTTGGATGTGGCAGGCCCTGGTATTGCGCAAGAGCGGTCTTTGCTATGGTGATTCCGGCGGCCTGCGCACATGGTCACACCGAACGAACACGCGAGTGCAGTTGGTCACACTTTTTGGAAACAAAGCTCGGTCAGTGGAATTCGCGCCGAAATGGGGGAAGGCGGAGGTATAAATGGTCACAGACGATGTCCGCAATTGTCAGGGCTCTCGCCAGCGCCACGAGAAGGTGGGATGACCATCTCACCTGGCAGTCGTGGAGTAACGTCGAACACATACGGCGGCGTTGCAGTCCAAGTTCAGTGCCGCGCGAATGCCAAGAAGTGCCAGATGGGCCTTGTCTACTCAATTCGTTGTGTCCTCTGTGGCTCGCGGAGCGGTCCTTATTTAACGACTGAAAAGCATAACCATGTCATTGGCTGCAGAATGGTAGGCTGTCATCTGAATACGTGTGCAGCTCAGTCAGACGTAACCATTCATGGGGCACCAAAAATAGAGACCCCACGACTGACGAAAGTCTGTATTTACCCCTATATTCGACAGAGAAAATGACGCCAGACCAGCGGGAGTACCAATCGACGCAGATAAGGAGGTGAGTGGGAGCAAGGGGCCCAGGACATTCGGAAGAATATGGCTGAACCGTGCGTCGGGACTGGAGAAGGTGCCTGGTAGAGACTTACTGTCGCGCCGCACCTTGTTCAGATGGCAGCTCACACACGACCGTGTTCAAGCTTTGATGGTCTTGTTAGTGACAGACCAGGCGAATCTTTCCGTGAGGAGTTTTCGGGAGGCGTGGATCCCAGGGTGAGTGAGTCCACAAAGACACTGGAAAACAGTTCGACGAATAAAGGCTGGCAGCAGAAGACGATCAGCACGAATCGGGACATCACAAAGGATTGTGCCAGCAGAGGTGGTCAGTGGAACGTCCGCGAGCTGGAGACTACTAACTGACTCTTCATTGCTCAGTCGCCATAGCAGTAATGTCAACCCCATGCGAGAGCTAGAGTGCGGAGAGGAAAGGTCTGGACAGCGCGTCGGCCACTTCACTCTTCGTATCATCATTTTGGTGGATGTCGGTGATGAATTGCGAGCTGTAGTCCGGGTGGGCAAACCCTCGGATTACACTTTTCTGCATGGAGTCAAAGGGTGAAAGTCAACGGCTTGTGGCCTATGAAAATACTGAAGTCATGATATTCACGGAAGGGGTGGGGAGGGCTCACAGTCAAGCAGATGACAAGTAACTGGTGGCCAAAGGTACCATGGCGTGCCTCGGTCAGTGAGCGTTTCTTTAAGGCTACCGGCCAGATCAAACCAGCAGGAGGTTGTTTGGAGAACTGTACCTACGGCTACTGTCGAAGTATCTACCGTAACCGAGAGGAGGTCTTCGGGAGCGGGATGCGTTAATAAGGCAGCGCCAGCAAGGGAATTTTTGATTCTAACAAAAGCGGTCGCCATGGGAAATAGACATATTTAAATGTACCAGCTAAAATTAAAAGAGGAGAACCGTCTCATGGTGTCCAGCTTTTACGTACACTTGACAGATTCTTCTGCGATTTGCTCGCCTCCTCAGATTGACAATGGACGCCCTTCCTTGTCCATGATCTTCCACACTTCGTTCATGCATTACGCTGCGACGTCCTCCGCATGAAAGGTTCAACTTTATTAATCTTATGGCAGGGGCAATTAAAATATTATTATGGAAAGATGTGGTTTGGTAGCCCTACCTGTTGGACACAGTACTGCTGGGGTTGGGGCTAAGGGTTAGGGGTCATGTTTGGGGGTTGTGGTTAGGAGTTATGGGTTAGGGTTATATTTGGGGGCTAGGATTTAGGATTATCGGTTATAGTTAGGGGTTAGGGTTATGGATTAGCACAACTATTCATCAACCATTAAAATTACAGCCGCGCATTCCAAATAGCTTTTCTTTTGCATACAAATACATGACCTCGTCGCCAGTGCGTTTCCCGGCCCCACCTGTACGAACCCCTAATACCACCGGTCCCGTATTAGATGTAACTAGGGTTCGCTTACTTCAGGTGGGGCTATAAAACCACATTCGACCAGAATTATAATTACATTCTACTAGGTTTATCCGCCCACGGCTAAGGAAAACTCACCCATTTCTATAGTCGCATTGTTGTGCCTGTCATCGGTAGGAAAGACTTCTCCTAGACGTTCTCCCAAAATTTGCTGCGCACATTTCTATCCAGTGCTATCAGAAATAGGTGCGAGATGTAGGGTCTCCTATGCCATCTCCTGGGTTGTGCCAATTAGCAGACTAACTGACAGCATACAGTGTAGCCACCCTCAAACGGTATGGTAGAAAGTGAAGTTGCATGATCAAACACATCATAACTGGATTTAGTTGAGTGTATCCTAGGTTTGATTATACCGAATTTATCCGAAAGGTGCCAAGCTTTACTGCATAACCTGTTGCATATCGAGTCAAATTCCCTAATTACTAAGGCTTTCGACGTGACTCAGAGATCTTGCTGCCAATAACGCATTGCTTACTGCGGTTTCAGCATCCGCGATCCTCCTATATCAGGCAATTTTATTCAAAGACCGCAACGAAGTAGACGACAAGCGAAATATGGTATTCCTCAGGTGAACTTAAAATACTCCTCCTTCACCTTCCCCTCCCGTTGCTGCCCCTGATGCTGTTTCGGACGTTGCTGCACCTCCTCCTCCTCTTTTTCCTCATCCTCCTCCCCCTCCTCCATCGGATGCCAACATATTGTCTGTTCTCATGAAACTTGCTCTGTCCTTTCTGTCCAGCGAACGCACATTGCACTGGCCTCTCAATTCTTACGTAGAGTCGCGGTTCTGGCACCTTCTAGCGCATCACGGGGGGATGTAGGGGTTTCCAAAGTAAACAGAGGGGAATTGCGATGATGGCAATGGTTTCCTCGGATAGTATACCAACCCTAGTTTAGGGGTGTAAAATTGAGGACAAAACATGCAGGTGTGGCAGGTCGCATCATTCAAATGGCGATTGCTCCTCACGTCCCTAATTGACACCAAACTCTCACTTATGGCTCCCTGAAGCCAGACCCTGCCTAGCAGCCACATCCCCGTAACCGACTCGAATGGCAGGCTAAATCAGATAAAGGTATCCAGTATTGCGTGTGTCCCCACACCCGGTAATTCTGTTTCCATCCTGTTTTCCCGCTTCCTCCCCTCCCTCCCACTTCCACTTCAAAAATCCTACGGAGAGGGTGATATAAAATCCCACAGGCCGCCTAGGCCGCCTCAGGTCGCTCCCCCATTGAATCAAAGCGTGACTCCTAGTGGAGTTTGGCAGTTGTCTGGAATGTCTTAGCAGTCCTCTTTGGGGGTAGCAATGTTTACCCCCTTGAAAGCGAAGGGGCTAGAAAAAGTGTCCGAAACAAATACTGCGACCATGTCCTCTGAACGCGGACCGTGGCTCGCAGGTGGACAACGCACGGTCGAAACAATCAAACAAGCAAGAGCTCATGTCCCCATCCCTCCTTCCCTCACCTCACCCTACCCCACAGACTGCTGGAGTGAGTCCGCTCAATCTGGCAGTCTGGAATGTTCGTGCCCTTTTAGACAGTCTGGGGAGTAACCGGCCGGAGCGGCGGACGGTATTGCTTCCTCGAGTACTGGCGCTCTACAAGGTGGGCATCGCCGCTCTCAGCGAGACCCGCTTCTCCGAACAAAGCAATTGTAGGAGGTGGGTTCCGACTACACCTTCCTCTGGAGAAGCCGGCAAAAGGCAATGCAATGAGACGCCGTTGTCGCCTTTGTCATCCGGAGCGACATCGTATCACGTCTGCCCATCCGCTACAGGACGTAAACGACCACCTCATGAGCCTGTGCCTGCTTCTTCGGGGAGCCAAATTCGTCACCATCGTCAAAGTCTACGTCCACCCCTCCTGCCCCCCAATAACCAGCTCCGAAGATGCGAGAAACGAATTATACGAGGACTCCCTTGGCGACTTAAATGCCCGCGTCGGAACAGACCACACTGCCTGGAGGGGGGTGCTAGTTCTCCACGGAATCGGCGGCTGAGACGGCAACGATCTTCTTCTTCCGAGAACCTTCGCAGGATACCGCCTTCTCCTGACCAAACCCACCTTCCGGTGCGGAAGAAGACGACCTGAATACACCCCGATTGCCGCGCTGACAGCTGCTGAATCACCTTCTCGTCCAGAGGCGAGATTGACTGGACATGCTGATGGCTAGGGTTATCTGCGACGCAAACGGCTGGACAGATTGCCGCCTCGTCATTTCCAAGATGAGGCTCTATCTGCAGCCCCATAGGAGACCACAAGGTTAGCGACCACCAGGTAAGTTAAATGCTACTCTGTCTAATTTGTCTGCTGATCGCCCTCATTTCAGCAATCAATTGGCCCAGCATCTGGAAAAACCGCCGGTACCGGACTAGAACGTCACCGTGGAGAATCGGTGGTGTTTACTGAGTAACGCTATTCACTCGAATGTCCTCGGACGTGCGCGTCGCCAACATCAGGATTGTTTTGACGATAATGGCGCGGACGCCAGCCAACTATTCACTGAAATGCACAGGCTGAACAAGGTCTGCATGGACCATAGGACCAAAGAAAACAGGTAGGCATTCCTAAAAATCAAAGATGGCTGCCTTTGACATTCGAACGAGGATAGTTGTACTCTGTCTTGGGTGATGACTGACGCAACACCACCGGTTTGTTCGTGATGATGGCCAGCCCGAAGCTAACACAACCCGCATGGAAGAGGGCCGTGTCCCCATGCATTTCCTCATCGGTCGTGGTGTTGAGCGCGCAGTCGCCCGTGAGGAGCAGTTCGTGGACTGTAGCTGTGAATATCCGCGTTAAGGCCTGCATGCTCCGGCTATGGCGCAGATAGCCGTCGGTCCTGTAGGCGATGCGGGTCTCGAGATACCCATCACTATAGGCCGCTATCAGCATGACAGAAAACATGAGGCCGAAGAGGAGAGGGGCACGCACGCAGTCCTGCTTCACACCGTTGGTTACCGCAGATGATGCTGAGACGGTCATATTGCCCGTGACGCGCACTATCATCCCGTCGTGGAGCTGAGGTAACGTGTTTGTGAATCGTTGAGGACAGCCGAATTTCTGCATGATTTTCCACAGTCCATCACGATTCACCGTGTTGAAGGCCCTCAGCAGACCTACGAAGGTAGTGTAAGGATGGGTCCGCATTTCCTGGCATCTTCCCTGCAGAGTGTGTTAATTTAGGGCTGAGCATCAGCACGGACAAACCGCTGGTCTTGCGCCAGTCATCACCCAAGACAGAGTACAACTATCCTCGTTCGAATGTCAACGGCAGTCATCTTTGATTTTTTAGGGAGCACGCTCTAGTGCAACACAAAATCGCTGATGAATTTGCCCATCGAATCTCCAGGGCCAGCCGGCTGCACGCCTCCTTACCGAATTGCTTTGGCCAAAGGTCAAAGGATACGTTGCCATTGCACATCACGTCAAATTGTGTTTACGAATTCACATGTACTTTTGGATGCAAGTACATTGGGAGAACGCAAAGGCAACTGGCAGCCAGAGCAGGTGAGCACCTGCCTAAATGGCTTCTAAAGCAGGAGAAGAAAATGCCACGGTCTTCCACCACAAAGCACCTCCTAGATGGCGGCCATTCAGTTGACCCCCAAACCTCATTTTTAATATTAGTTCGGGCACGAACAACTCAGATACTGCGCTACTCGGAGGCTGCCTACATACGGCGGGAGAAACGACAGGCTGCAGTTGATAAGCTGTCGCGAAATTCATTGGTTTCAATAAATTCTGCTGTCTATGCTTGCTCCAGATTCACCCCGGCGAAATATTTCTTCAAGTTATTCGTATAACTAAAATCCGGTTCATTTATCGTGGAGCATTCTAAAGGTAGCTTATTTTGGAATAATATGGGGTCGAGAAGCGTTCCCGGACCCTAAAAAATGAAAGTGCGTTTGGAGGTCAAGAACTTCATCCGCCAAATCAAACTCCATTCTCACAGTCAAAGGAGACTTACGATAGATTTTTCTACGAACACATTTGCGTTGTCCTTGGAAAATGAATAGACGCGCTTAAGATCATTATCATAAACGAAAGTTTGAGAATTTCCGATTATTCTTGAAACGTCGTTAATGTAAAGAATTAAGAGTAGTGGCCATAAAATTGTGTCTGTAGTACGCATTCGTAATCAGATGAGGCGCCGAGTAGTTATTACCAACCATGACCTTATGAAAACGGGTGGATAAGTACATTATGTGACCTATCTTATGAAAGGTGTCGGGATTGCTAATAATCCACAAACCAACATTAATGCACGGACCTAAAATCTATATTAATGAAGAACAACTCTAAGAGAATTGAAAACATGGAGGAAATATGAAAAGTAATATTACGTTGTTTAGAAATACCGGTTTTTCAGAAACGCTAAAAATTCCAAAAGCGTCAGAAACGGTTGCTACTGAACAAATTTCAGTTTTAAATGTACAGAATATCTGTCCATCCAACAAACTGAGTAAATATGGCTGCACAAACAGAATGACATTTAACAGTAGTGTTTTAGTGTATCTAACACTTAAATGTCTATGAATTAATGTAATACCAGGTAGGGCGATTTGTCAACAGCCTGCATTCTGAGTATAGATTTCAAAACGGCAGGACCCAAGAAGTCAAATGGCGGGAGCAGATGTTGATGGTTACTAAAAAGTGCCTATACGACACTTTGCCGAAAGTTTTATTATGATCGAAGGTGATGAATACCGCCAACCATTTTTATTACAAAGTTAAATTATCAGGTTAACTAAGACCAAGTGACAATTCTCGCAAGATCTTATGGATAAAATGCATACTGAGTTGTGCTCGGGAGCTGCTTAGCTGGAGGGGAATACAGAATTCCGCTGGAGATTGTCTTTTCAAGCAGTTTTACTGGTGATTGTGTTTTATGCACGGCTGATATTTACTAACGTCAGATCGAGACGCTGACTTGAGACTTGGAGGGACAATAGATGTTTTACGTAAATCAGGGAAGAACCCGCACAAAAGACAGACAGATAACATATGACCATGAAACCAGGGAAAGTCCGACACTTACTAGTTAATTTGGTTTAGAATGCTGTCCACTCTCAAATAGTGCGACTTTTAAACGACTTAGGTATTTCTGAATTAGTTCTGAGATGACATCAGCGGCATGAGCACACGCATGAACGCGGACGAAACGAATAACTTGGTTTTTGCTTAGGGGCAGGTCGTTTTACAAAGCCACTAAACAATTCGACGTTGTCAATGTCACTGGCAATGAGGCCTTTGTTGTCATTGAGCAAGAAAGGACTGTCACAACTACGTTTAGAGGAGGACCGACGTCAAAAATGTGTGCGAGGGAGTTCGCAAGGTTCGGGTGATTGCATGCAGGTGATTTTCTCTGAATGTCGCTCGCATTACGCATCTTGGAGACCATTTCAAAATATTAATGATTCTTAGATCGACAGATGTCCGATTCCCGTTTATTCCCTCGGGGTCGGGCAAGATTAACATAAGAGCTGGGTACCTACCCGTGATCTAAGGCTATGGTGGAGTTTAAAGTGCTGGTTTTGGGTGAATGACCTTCTCATAAGCAATGATTAGCAAACTATGTCCAGCTGAAAATCGCATTGCAGGACGCCAACCCAGGGCCTTTGGACGTGTTTTGCCGGCTGACAAGATCTAATCTCACTTTAAATATCCTCAAAATTCCTTTCGAAATAACACCATTCCTTAATAGTCGTGAGTTGGTCGACCAGTATATTGAATGTGGGCATTTTTTCCTTCCATCTTGCAACGGTAATGATATTTACTTTGCTATGCCCTACTAGTGATTCTTCGTTTTCCATTTCGACTCCTGATAATTAGTCAATTTCTTGACTTCATAATAAAAATGCTAGTGCTTGCCAAAAACTTGCCGTAAATTCTAGGTTTTCCTTCGACGGAACATCGTTCTCTCTTAGGCTTTTGCCCTTCCAGGTCGTAATACGAGCAGCCCTAGTCGTCTTTTCAAACAATTTGGCGCAGCATACTAGATAAGTCTGACTGAAGTGTAGTCTGTAGGAGGGGATCGATATCGTTTTTAAGTTATGAAACAAGCAGGGCCTGCCACCGGTGGCGGGGGAGGATGACTGTTCCAAAACGAACGTTAACGATGTATTGTATGACAGTGAACGCATGTTGGATAGAAAAATTTAAGAAGAGATGTCTCAAAACCTAAAAATGAAGCCTAATTTATGCCTAAGCGCAACAGATAGCTCTCGAATTCAAATGCCCCAGTTACCAGTTTCCCATAAGATACCCGTATCTGCTTTTGTCTTTGATGATGGGTTCAAGCAGAAATCCGAAACGTCAGACTAATAAAGCTCTTGTTCCAGCGATCGTGTCTCCTTCTTCAACACGATATGGTCCCTATCACAGACATGGATGTCACAAGGGTGGAAGTACAATAAAGGCTACATCCAGAAGAAGCCATTACTATTTGATTTTCAGTTATGGTATGGGCCGAGGTACCCCAGAATTTGGCAGTCTTCATTACCACAACCTGTAATATATCCTGGTAAATTTAAGCACGTCAGACTTAACGGAAAACGGAATGCGCCGACATACTCTGAAGATTGGTCTAACAGTGCCTGCCTCACTACCCCTCCTTTCTCTCCCACGCAACAGACAACTGTTCGAGCCATCAGAGCGGCTGTTGATAAGATTTGATGCAGTGGTTGACGAGACTTAACAGCCCACTTACGTGTGCCACGCACGACCCGGTCCCGAATCATGTTCCGGGTCCGACCAATAATTATGCCTGTTTCCCGACATAAGATGTCTTATCAGTCACACCGGGGTTGACAAAACGGTTTACGCGCCTGCAGCTTGATTACTGTGAGGTGAGATGCAGAAAAGTGTTATGTGCGCGCTTTTGTGAAGTACGTTCGTCTGTAACAGAGGGGGCGCGTAGGTCGAATGCTATAATACTGTTGGCTCTATACCATGTTGTCTTGATGAAGATTTACCTTAATATGTATGTCTAAATGAACAAATGATAAATTTCATTAAAGACCCCTGGGGTCCCATCAAAGCAAGTAAAAATAAATTCTCATATGAATTTAAAACAGGTAGACAGAATCTCCAGAGGAATAAGTTCACGTTTGTTGGATAGGCGGTTTCGTCAGAAAAATGATTGGCGAGCAGTGAAAACATTCCATTACATAGTAAACACAATGGGTGTGATTGGATTGACTCTCAAGGAGAAAAACTGTCGCTCATGAAGGGATGAGAATGTGGGCAGGACCAGTCTGTATGTGGTAGTATATAACAGATTCTAAATGGGCATCTTTGGGGCCGAAAAACTGTCTTGATGAAGATTTACCTTAATATGAAAAAAGATTCCACTCATGAAAGAGTGAGTGTGTGGGTCAAGCAGGACTGGCCTGCATGCGGCAGTGTATAAAATATTCGACACGGACATCGTCAAGGCAGAAGCTATAAACCGGGTGAAGTTATCCACGTCAAAGTGGCGAGAGGAGAGGAACCCAAACGTGATTGGTCACAGTCCGCTTCAAGTCCAGACGAAGGGACAAGGAAAATAGCCAACAAATCCACGGGATGACCGAATATTCTGGACAAAGTTGGCAGACGAGGCAGGAACAGTGGCCGCACGTCGGGGCCTCTTGCGAGGGTACACCGGCCTCAACGAGACGGATTCTCAAGTAACTGTCCAGACCGATGCACGATTCAAATGTGAGGTCGAAATGAGTGCAGGCTTAGATTTGGTTCACACTGGGAGTGGAAGGGGCAATGGTGGCGAAGATTTGCATGATGCCAGAAGAGGCCTCATTTTTGATGTTATCGAGGCAGTCTTGCTAGTGTGCCGTGAGTTCACTCAAGCCCTGCTCCGGCCATCTGGGTATTGTCTTCCCATCAAATTTTGGTGGATATGAGAGAAGAGAATGTAGTAGACGTTGCGAAAGTCTGGTCAACTACAAACAAATTAACGCGCAAGTCACATGTGTTTCACACACTCCGAAGGACACGCTGTGAAGGATGTCGTTTGCGATGGCAGATCCCGTGCGTTATGTGATGAGAGACCATTTCGTCGTGTGAACATTGCGTCGCGTCCGGATAAATCAAACGCGACCGAGCTGGGCAAAGAATGCTTGTTGACAGCGAGGAGTACTGACAGAGTTTAGGTCTTGTCGTCATTGTTCCGTAGTATTTGAAACCTTCGTCCTCCCTTCTGTCTGCTTTAGAGCGGCTGCTCGTGTCTTCCTTTACAACAGTGCATCCTGCCTACCGACGTTAATGGGAGTCCTTCGGGGTTGTCGGGTTGATTTGCAGGGATATGAATGAGGTTCCCACCGCGTCCTCGTAACGTCCATCATATCCGCCTTGTCAATCATCGGTAGCTACGCCACCGTAACACAGCCGCTTGGACAGGCTCTTGTCTTGAATCCTCTCGACGTGGACGCACTAACAGAATTGGATCTGCCTCAGCGTGGCATAAATACTAAGAACGCCAGTTTTTTCCAGGACCTCAACCCCTGAGATCCTCTCTTGCCACTATACCTTCATTATTTTCCGTGGGCGGCCTGGGCAAAAATGATTTATTTTACTTGTTTGACCTTCGAGAATTGTCTCCGTCTCCGGCGATGTCCATCGTGTGCTCCACAGCAAGGTGAGGGCTGCCACGGTGACATTCGCATGGATTGGTTTATAGTGGGAGTAGACTTGCATAGAATTCCCCACACTCTTCTCCCCTCCTGAACCCGGTGTCAACACATATCCAAGAGTACAAAAGGCGGGAGGGGGGGGCAGGTGGCTGCTTTGATCCGACTTGCACCTAGGCGTACAACCACACCCCCTTTTGTATAGTGGGTCAGCGAAAACATCGGATACTTAACATGAAAGTGTGCAGATTAAATTTGACGACAGCTACGTGACCTCTTGGCGACTTCTCTCTTCGTCGTTTCATCCAAGAAGCCACTTGTAACAGTTGGGCAGACGTCCCTTGCGGTATAGTCGTGCGTATGCTCGTTATACCGAAGGGCTTTTGAAAAAGTGAAAGTAAAATTATGCAAACCTCTGTTGAAAGGACGTGATAGGCGACTTCATATTCAATAAACCCTTTTAAGTGGACTTGCATATACGAACTGAGCTCTCAGGGATGGAGGGAGGTAGTGAGCATAAAATATATCCTTTCAAAATGACATAAATCTTGTCTGTTAGCCGTCAGCAATTGATCTATCTTTGCGTGTTATTCAGTCTGCGTGAGATTAAACTGGTTGATCGGGGATCTCATCTTAGAAAAGAAGTCTACATAATAAGTCTTCGTAATACGCCACGGTGCGCACTGGCACTGAAAGGTCCGGAATAGGCTCAGCTGTGTTATCGCAAAGGAATTGTCAGTCGAAGTATTTACTCTCAAAAGAAGTCCGTTTTCCTCAGAGACCGTCTGTGTATTGTAGAGGAATCTGTCCCAGTAACAAACTGCATCTGAAGCTCACGGTGTCAAGAAGGATCCAGCAACAACTACATCATTTTCAGTTGCCCGCAGAAGATATGCCACTGTGTAAACACACAGCTGAATCGTTGAGATCGTCGTGTACATATATGTCGTGCCGATGTGTATCTGCATTACCGTTAAGGAAGAACAGTAGTCCGCTAAAAATATTGAAAATACTGTCCTTACTAATCCCCATTTGGGCGCTTGTTTTCATAAAACAACTCATCTGTCTTGTCGTGGCGTTCACGGAGGGGAAATATAGTCCTTATCCTCCGGCCCACAAAACCAGCTTTTGACAGTAACGGATCAGCTGTATGTAAACAGTCATTAAATGAGATCTCTCTACAGTCTATTTACGGGTTACAGGGCTACAAACGTGACCGTTTGATTGGATGGAATGACCCGTAAAGGATCTGTTGTGTCGTCTGGGTAGAATTTACCGTCCTGTGGGATCACATTTATCACAGTGGTCAATGAGGACATGGGCAACAGAGACCCGTGTAGGTTGGGTGTCCGTTTCACACACAGTAGATTTTAGCTACCTGCTTGACATACAAAATGCACATGCAACTTATGCACTATGCAATGAAAGCTGACCCCAAATGCACTCTTCTCAATGAACGTCTAGGTTTGTCGATAAACCATTTAACAGTCACGCTCTTTATAGTACTGATACAAGTTTTCCGCCGGTACTGGGAAATTCGGCCTATTTCAGTTAAATGACGTCCATCAAATTAAATTTCTATGGCAAACAAAAACTGGAAGAAAGTTTTCGAATTAAGTTCAAAAACAGCCAAACAAATTCCGAAATAAAGCGATATTGTTATTGAGCGGTCGGAGGGAGCGAATCCAAAAAGCCACATATGTCAGAACTGCGGGGTTGTGGGAGTTCAAGATCTGTATCCTCTTCCAGCCGGGGGGGTATATAGGCTGTGACAACATAGAGCTCCAGAACATACTGCCATGGAAGTATCTGGTCGACTAAAAATTTGTATTTACCTCCGCCTTGACGTTCCTTTACCCCCCTTTACGCGGCGGGGTTTTCGTGCCGACCTTCCGATTTAGCTTCCTCTTGCGTTATGTCTACGCATTTGCAGGTACTACCATCGCTACCAATCTTACGACTTCTTTTTAGAAAGGAATAGATCTCGTCCAACAGGCTACGGCCGAGGATAAGAATAAAAATTACGAAGAAGCTCTTCGTCTGTATCAAATTGGCGTAGAACATCTGCTGCATGCTATGCGATGTTAGTCTTTTTGATCCTCATTTCTTTGAAGATGAAGCTCAGGGCGAGAAATCAAAGGATGCCGTCCGCAGGAAAGTTGCGCAATATCTTGAGCGCGCCGAAAAAATAAAGGACTATCTCTCAACTCCCAAAGAGGACGTGCGTACTATATAGTCTCTTAAAAATAGTTATTTTTCACTCTTCCGACCTTCTAGCAGTACTTCGGGTGCCTACGTCTTTGTTTTCACGTTCTTGTGAGATAATTTCGCCGTTTTGGTTGATGCGACATCCATGGACCCTGCACATGGCTCCCGATTTTATTACTGGCGTCCTACACTAGATAAGATTGCTGTTTGACGTACCTTAACCTGAAATCAGCGATGCTCGTGGTTTTGCGACAGTCGGCCCGACCGACATTTTCGTCATCTTTCTTGTTACGTTCCTTCATGACGTATTTTGCTGTCTGTATGCAGATAAGAAATTTTTGTCATGGCACTGTCATGTGGGCTGGTTTAAGGCCATAGGCTCTAGAGCAAATACCTGGGATATGGGCATTGTTTTTACTGTTTTATCTCTGCAACTATCCCTTTCGTATTATATTACAAAACCATCGGACAGGCTTAACTAGTTCTCCAATTCATCTTCAGTATGCGGGTGTGTAATGACGAGATCTTTGCTCAGGGTTTGCCGAATAAATTGCCGGTCGCTATGACCTTTTCCACTCCTATCAAACACGATTATTCCGTACGCACAGACCTTTACTATAGCCGCATTTCTCAGCCATCTTGCTACTGTTTTCCCACCCTCAGTGATCCCCTTATAGTTTACTGTTTCTCACACTACCAGGGATCAATGCAACCCAATCTCTTCAGTTTGAGTACTGTGAGCTCAAATATTCAAAGTTTCCTCAGCTGTGCGCTGCAGATGAAAGGTCTTTACGCGATACTGGTCTTACCGTTTAGCCGTTATCATGTTGTTTCAGGGCTGATTTCCTCGACACGATAGTTACTGTAATTTAAAAGTATTCAACTTTATAGCTGACAGCACTGCGGCATATTCGTGTGCTTATTGACAGTATGTCATATCTATTTTTGTGCCGTAAACAGAAGACGTCGAACGGTGGTGCCATTGAGAAGAAACGTACCGGTAACTCGAAGGATGACAAGGAAGACGATGGAGAAAAGACCAAACTCCAGAGCCAACTGCAAGGTGCTATTGTCATGGAAAAGCCAAACATACGGTGGGACGATGTCGCAGGCTTGGATTTGGCGAAGGAAGCCCTGAAGGAGGCTGTTATACTACCTATCAAATTTCCTCATCTTTTTACCGGCAAACGCACTCCTTGGAGGGGGATTCTCCTCTATGGGGTAGGCCTTTTACTTTCTGTGTCTATCCTCAAAGTAGCGTAAGTCTTTGGAAGTGCGCTTTTAACTTATGTCCCCGCATTTGCGTCCTGCCCAACTTATTATTTTGTGAACCACGTAGTCGACGATCTTTGATGATGACAGCTTGCAACGAATCTTGTGGAAATTGTTGCTTGAGTCCATCACTTATCTCCCCTCATTTCAACTTTGCTTGTTGTACGAATGAATTCTAGAATATCAGAGATCCGACCACACCCATTAGTTGATCTGAGCACCTTTTGTGCTCTGAGTGTTTCCACAAGCTGTTCACTGACAGACCATTTCCTGCTAACTTCATCCACCTATCCGTTTGAAACAGAAGGCACATACCTAGATAGGTATCTCCGTAGGGACATGTACCCATCAAATGCGTCGAAATTCGCTAACTACCCTCACCTAGTTTGATCTATCATTTCGCAACTGTTACTGGGTTGTGGTGGCCATGCATGCTTCGTTCACACTTTGGCTGCAGTTGCGAACTTGGTCTTAGTGTAGCCTATCGAGCCAAACACAACTGCCCTTTGTTAAGACTTTACGTCTGCCATTCCATCGTAAAGGCCACTTCCCTAATCAGTTGCAGCATGTCTTTCTTGTGCAGCAGTAGCTTCTAACTTATAATGACTAAATGCATGCATATTTATCAGATAACTAGTTAAATTCTGTGTCACCTTGAAGTCACTGACACAGTTGAGCAGTTGACACAGTTTCACCTAGTATCTTTCAGTGTCTCGAAGGTCCGCCAGAAGTAGTAGAAGCACAAGCCTGTATGTCCCACTGTGGGTCTTCCAGATTACGTGTTTCTAATAGGGAGATTATTTAAATTAGGAAGCCTCGTATGGCAGGGCGTATGCGCCCTCCGCCTGCGCCCCTCCCCCGTGATTAAGCAAACTGGGACCTATCGGAGCGACTGTCTTCGTAATCTTTGTTCGATAGCCATGAAGACTCATGCTTTGGCACACCTCGATGACAAAGTTTCACTCACATTTGTGTCAATTTTACGGCTTTCTACAAAAATATGTCGGCCCTTCTGTTCACAGCTAAACAAACCCAACAATTTTTTTATCCCTTTAGCCTCCGGGTACGGGTAAATCCTATCTGGCCAAGGCAGTCGCCACGGAGGCCAACAACTCCACTTTCTTTTCCATCTCCAGTTCAGATCTGGTGAGCAAGTGGCTAGGCGAGTCCGAGAAACTGGTCAAGAATCTTTTCGAGTTGGCTCGCCAAAATCGTCCCAGCATTGTCTTTATCGACGAAGTAGACTCCCTCTGCGGATCGCGTAACGAGAATGAATCGGAGTCCGCACGCCGAATAAAAACTGAATTCCTCGTTCAAATGCAGGTATTGCAGAGGGCCAGGATCACTGGCAACACTGGCTTAAAATATTTATTGATCATTGAAGCCTTCTTATGCCCAGGAGTTCTTTTCAGCTAAGACGTTTAGCTATTAACTCTCTACTCCCACCTGCCGATCACTTGTACTGGGTCGCCCGTGCCGGTTTTCAGTATTTCCATACGACAGCCTACGTGGCATGATTGTATTTTGATTGTGATAGCCAGAAGACGGCTTCTCTTAAGGCCGATATGGACGCCCACGTTCTCCCAAAGCAATGCGTAACTTTTACAACTGGTGGTTGTGTATTTATCTATTTCATCGTCTTCATAGTTGATTTTCATTTTTGCGTGTGCCGTGTTTGTGTGGGTGCGCGCACCCTTCCGGGCTGTATCCTTTGTCTTCTGCTGTAGCCATAGACTTTTCCCATCGGATTCTATTAGCTTTTGTTCGCACTTTGACGCGTCGGAATCCACTATACTATCTTATTTTTCACACAGCCGCAAGTGAAAGACAGGTGCGCTGCCCTAAACGTAGTCCTCATGTGCATAGATGGTTTTAGTATTCATGGCACTATCAAGTTTATTTTACATATCCGAATTGGTGTGTTTAAATAGTCTTTCTTACATATCTGCCCCGAGCAAGGGTGTAAACAATGACAATGAGAACGTGCTCGTCCTCGGCGCTACGAACATTCCATGGACCCTAGATTCGGCCATTCGTCGACGGTTTGAGAAGCGTATTTACATCCCACTTCCTGAGGCTCCAGCCCGCGCACAAATGTTCAAACTACACCTTGGCACAACACCCCACTCTCTCACAGAGGCCGACTTCCGGGAGCTGGGCAACCGCACACAGGGCTATTCAGGCGCCGATATCTGCATCGTCGTTCGTGATGCCTTAATGGCACCCATCCGGAAGGTGCAGTCTGCAACTCACTTCAAGAAGGTTGGTCTATATAATGTACTCTTCATGTCTTTCCGTCTTTGCCCCCTACAAAGGACCACGCGGGATTTGTGTTGGGCCAACACGCGGGCTAGGTCGGGGTTAGGCACGCGTTCCTGGACCGCGCATCCACAACAAATACCGTATACGGGGGTGTGGTTGTATGCCTCGGAGCAGGCTTACGCCGCGCCGGATACCCGCGTCCGATCCCATCTCCTTTTTCAATTCTATCTTGACACAGGGCCCAGGTGGGTAAGGGGGAGTGTGATAGACGCTGTGCAAGTCTGCTATCGCTAAACTAATTCATGTGCAAGCCACCGTCCCTGTGCTTACCCTGCTGTTGGGCACACGGTGGACATCGTCGTCAACGACGGTTGAACTGTCGTGTTTCCGTCCACACGTGTTTTGCACATCTGACCAGCCATGTAGGTGGTTGAATTCTTCCCTATTCGGTCGTGCTTTATTGTCGGGCCGAAACTTGGATAACCTGTGCAACCCTGTTTTCATGTGTTTAGTCACCGAGCTACGAAAGTAGCTTCTGACTTCGTGGTTTTGACACCAAAAGCAGAATTTCACTGGAACCATCGCACACTGCTAGCTAACACGAAATTGTGCGTTTTCAGACGTAACTGACGTTTTATATGAAGTCGAACACCCTTTGTCAGAGGTAGTAATTGCTTTGCCCCGCGCAGTATTTAGAGGTAATTGTGGCCTGTCACGAGGACAGGATGAAAGAGAGGAACGGAGGGACAGGACCGCTTAGTGTTTTAGCTGCTGGCTACCTAGCGCGTCCACGATGGGAGGGGAGGGGGGCAATGAGGTGGTTTTAATACAATTCCAACTGCTAACTAGTTAAAGTTTTGTGTTCGGCGACTAAACGGTCCCAGACCCGCAGCCAAATTACTAACGGGATCTGGGCGTCGATATCTGGCACATCAGCACTCATAAAATGTCACTATCTGACGACTGAACCGATATATGGCGATCGTTAACCGCCGTTAAATAGTTTCTTCACTCGTCTTGCGGTCAGGGCTTATGGCCCAAAGGGCTTTGGGGAAAGAATCTCGACTAAACTTACCGGGAGGCAATTGGGAGGCTCTCAGAATGCACTTGACTCCAAAAACTGTCACTACGTGTCATTGGAATTCGTGCCTCGACGTTGCAGGCGATTGGCGCACCGTCCGATCCAGGTTTATCTTTGCAGGTACTTGGTGATCAATCTGAACTGTTTAATTCAAAACGGAGCCTCAGTGACTAGTGCTAGTATGAATGACTGTCCCTTTGGCGCTGATACCCAAAGTTTGACAATACTCTGTCTCTCAAGATTTCTTCGCCGTTATCTTATACTCGCTGCTGGCGGCCAAAACAGTCGGATCGGAACAGGCGGATCCCAAAAATAGTCTCGTTACTGTCTACATTTGTTTCAGTACTCGATTCAAAACTCTAAAGGGCTGAATAGCTTTGCCGACCAGAGCTACCCCCTTATCAACGCAGCTTTCAATATTACATCGAATCCTCCCTGGTCTGAAATTTCGGCGATTTGTCTAAAGCCAGTCAGATCTATTGGATTTTACTCGCTTTAATGCCGCACAGCCAGGTTTATTATAACGGCTGGATGCGTATTGTGAGCACCGACAACGCCCCTGGATCAGATCGTATCACTATCCGCACACGTTTGAAGGCTCGCCGAAATTTCTCGCGCCAGACCTAATATCGTAAGGTTGCGATTGCTCAATATAGTTAGGTCCTTAAGACGCGGATAAGGTCTTGCCTCATAGTCATCTACCAGTCACACTGACATAAGCTGGCCAGTCCGCTAGGCAGCGGAAGAAGTTTTTGTCTTCATCCAGCTGTGTCGCAATGATGCGATTCGCATTTCTTCTCAGGCGTCCACAGTTATTACTTCTCCAACTTGTTTCGAAAATGTTAACAGCGAACTCCAAAAACCTCTATTAATACTATGCCGGAGTAATGATCTCGACGGATCAGGTCTCGAGTGTTGGCCACACTCGAAGAGACTACCAACTTATCTCACAGGTTGGTGGTAGGTGCTTTGGGATATGGATGGTAACCATTCCGAAAACGCAGCCGATATCGATCGTTCTGCAAATTTTGATGACTATCTGCTCATAACCCTATTCTATCAGAAGCACAGTTTAGTCCTTTTTCAGTCTAAAAGGCGCACGTGGTCCCCTCCCTCCGATGCGAGGTTACAACAACAACAGCAATAAGAACCCTGGAGGAGATGACATACCTGCCGAAATCTGGCGGTGACATCGTCCCTTTTGCATGAGTTGGTCGACTCTAACCAACTGAATGAATGAAAAATCCTCTCTCTGCATTGAGGGAAGAGATAGAATTAAGTAAAAAAAATCCCGCAACACAAGTGTCTTTTCGTGGTCCTCAGGAGATTTCAGGGTGCTTTTGATTCCAGAGCGAAATCAAATCAAGCCGACTTCCTAACTAGGCGTGAATGCGCATGCTGTATACTTACCCTTTGACTCCACGAATTTCGCCGCAGCTTGCAGTGGCGTTCGACTGTCTGTCTTGCTCCTGCCCTCGATTCCGCTTGCCGAGAGTACCTGGTAGAACTAAATAACGTACTGGAAGAACTTATTGTCATCAAGGTGGTGAGCTCTACATCCTCACCACAAGCGTCCATCCCCTCATGCTGCAAACGGCCCTTTGGGAATGCATCCGCACATCTACCCTACTGAATGCCTAAGTGACTGGGCTCTTCAGTGACCTCAACGCGACGCTAATGACGTTGTGTAGGAGCTTTCTCCTCCCGGTGCGATTATCCCTCGGCAGGTGCACTCAGGACCTGTTCGTTCTAATTCGCTGGCTGTCCAAAACCTCGGTTAAGTCGTGTGTTTTCGGGCAGTGGCTAGATGGGGGCGACTAGCTGAAAGACTAATTTCCTACACTGGAAGATTTCAGGGTCTTGCCAAACATCCGTAAGGTCTTATTTGTTGGTAGCCAAAGTTAGCCACATCACTACTCTTCGTGACAGTTTTTTTCCTCCGCCTAATTATAGGCCCTCTTCTATGAATATAATTACACCGTGAATTAACCTTATGAATATGGATTATTTATAGTAGATTTATTATTGCAATCCGTCCCTCCCTCACCCGGGTCAATGAGATCTGACATCCAAGCCCGTATACGTCGCCTCGATGTGAGTTAAAGTCTGACGGTCTGAATGTGTCCACTGTCTGCTGGGTACGCCTGTTGGTGCTCCCATTGGAAGGGTGTGACTAACAAAGACAAGGGGCGCAGGAATCACTATTTCTGGCTTGTTAATTGTCACCAGCCGGCCCTACCCTAACATCAGGCCGAACACCCGAAGTTTGAACTCAAGTCAGCTGACCATTGGGCACTTTTAAGTCAAGAGCTATCCCACTTGATCAATGGGCCCAAGTCCTGTTTCCTGCAACCGGGGACATTCGGCCACATGGGAGTGGCCTTCACCTATCTATTCTGAACGCTATACTAGATGTAGAATGCCCGTTTTGCCTCGTCCATTATTCTATGGAGGTGCACTTGAGTAACCTGCTTTCGGTATGCCTCAACTTCCAGCACTTAAATACACGAAAGCTCACTACTATTTGCCGCTCTTGGTCTTGGCTTGCGTAGGTTAGTGGGCCGTCCCCAACAAACAAGGATGTGATCGTGCATGACCTATTGACTCCTTGCTCCCCCGGCGACCCCGATGGCATTGAGATGGACTGGACCTCCATTGCTAGCGACAAACTCAAGGAACCAATTGTGTCACGGGTGAGTTCGTCTTCATTATTTTGCCATTTCACCTATATGCGGGCAATTTATGGATAAAGTTCTGCACTGAATGATTATAGGACTGTTTGGCAAACACCTACTCGGCAAATGGCTAGTTATCACTTAGGTAGACATTGCAAAATTCACAAAGAAGGCCCGCCGCTGCGTCCGAGTCTAAGTATTCCCGAATTCTTCCGAAACCATGAGATTGCAGCGTGCTTATAGATAAATTTAAAGCCAATCCGGAGCCAACTAACCTTACGCCGTCGTCGTAACACTTATGCATTTTTCGAATTAATAGAGAACTGCAGTGTCCTCATTAAATGTTGCGTAACTGTCAACTAATTCGCTCGTGAGATACATTACCAAACCATCTCTTTGAGTACAGAGAAAACTCCTTAAAATTGGTATGTCAGTAGACACGTTAAGGCACTTTCTACTCAGATTTAAGGTGAATCCTCAGTTGTCATTAGACAGATGGACCCTCCCTGAACTGAGAGACCTGGATAAAGAAATGCACCAGCCAGCTTTAATTCCATAATGTTTCTTTGTACAATATACTCTGGACCGCGCCTCGTCCAACCGAGCGTAGTGCGATGCCTTAGTCTCTAGGTCATGCTCATTCTCCAGTCATGACTATGTTGGAGGCAGAAAAGGAGAAACTCCTTAATTTTTGGACCCCCAATTAAACGGGCCACTCTGCGGAACCATCAAGATGTTCACTCACATGAAGGAAGCGGGGTCCGGACAGTAGATCAACGTCAATGGTCAGAAAAGCGACTTGATTGATTGTTTAGCCAGCAAGACCAGAGAATTTTGTTTATCACCTAAAACTGAAGATGAACCAAAGATAATCAAGGGCATGTTAGGGAAAAACTTTTATCCGGGAATGTTATAACGGAAAGTATCTAGAAGATGACAAAAGCTGGGAGGATGGCTGCTGCAGGGAAGTCTTTTCAAACTGCAGTTTATGGGCTGTTTCTGACGAATGGTGAAAAGCCTGTTGATTGCGACCATTCCACGCGTCTTCCCTGCGATGAAATTCGGAGTACTATTCACTGCAAGCACAGTTCTACGACTGCGGTAAGACGGGCTGCAAACTCGATGGCACTTCTGCATATCTACTCTTTCACTTGCACCTGTCGCGCAGGCTGTACCAGTCGAGCGGTTTAACACTTTTTCAAAATGACAGGAAGGTGCATGTCAATATGACTAGGAAAATGTGAATCTAGTACGATCAACAACTCAGTCCTTGCCTACCTATTGGACACCGGCTATCGAGCGGGCGCCAATGAAAGCTTTCATGCAGTCTACACAGTACCACCAAATTGCCAGCCTCTGCAGCAGTATGTGCTAGCCACAGCTAAGACGGTGGAAATCCGCATACGCAGCCTAGCACTGTACATTTAATCATTTGTTCCGGACACCATTTGCCGAGACTTAGAGACCCTTTAGCGATTGGGTGCTGTGGCATGTTAAACCTGAACCCTCCAACCCGAACACCTCCCGGACTATCAGTACCAAGGGAACTACTTCGTCTCCCACCTCTTTGTAACTTCCTCCCGAATACCTACTTGCTATATTTGACGATAACTGATCGGGAATATGTTCATCAAATGCCTTCTAAACTTTAACAGGCCCGCCATTTAATCGTCTCACTTTATTTGCAAAATCCATCATATGCTTTGATGGTTAGAATGCATTCGCTGCCGGAATCAATCTGAAGTTGTGAAACACTAACAGGCGAGGGGTCCTAGTTGACGAGAACGGAGAGCGTTGTTGACTGGTTATCCCACTAATCAAAAATTGGGAATGCGACCAGCGACCGGCGTAAACATCGTCAATTAACTTTTTGGCCAGCCGATATTTTCCGCACGTATGGTAGATGTTATAACTCAAGAAATTTTAACCGAAATTCTGATATGCGTTTTCGATTCAAAAAGATTACTTAAGTAGGGTTGTAATATTAATCACCGTGCTGCATAATTCAAAACTAATTTAGTTACTTCAGGGTGCCGGCTTTTGAACGAGCTTCTCCCCAGCCGGCTGCAAAAACTACACTCTGTAAAGAATGGCCACCTAAGTAGCATGAATTTTTCCCACTGATTCTCAATGCCCTGATAAATTCAAATATATTTCATAGAGAACATGCATAAAAATATTCATCCTCTTACTCATTTGGTGGAAAATTACGTCTTCTTCAAATTTTATACTTGAAGGAAGGGTGTAATTCGGTTTAAAAAAAACTTTTCCGATTCCCGTACAGTTTTGAACCCGACCTGCCGTTGCACTTACATTCAGCGTTTCCAAACCGCGAGTTGTATCTTTTCCGTTTACGGGAAATCATGCATTTCTATACGCTATTAAGCAGAGACCATATGGGGCTCATAACATTTGGCAGTGGATTTGGGTCATATTGTTAACTTTACCAGCAACGCTAGTAAATGCAGACACAAGATGTTTCATAAACGGGCATTTCGCGGTCTTAAAAGATCTCATAATTAGAAACTTTTTAAGACCGAATTATACCCTCCCTTCAATTATAAAATTTGAAGAAGACGTAATTTTCTGCCAAATGAGTAAAACTGAGTATTTTATGCATGCTCTTTAAGAAAAATATATTCTTTAAGGGCATCAACAATCAATGAGAAAAGTTCATACTACTTAAGCAATCCTTTTTTGCAGCGTGTAGTTTTTGCAGGTGGGCCGGAAGAAGTTCATTCAAATGCCGGCATCTTGAAATAACTGCATTATCACGGGATTATACTACACGGTAGCTGATATTACAACCCCACTTAAGTAGTCTACCCGTGTCGGAATCACATTTCGGTATTTTGGTAAACATTTCATGAGTTAGTACATCTACCAGGATTGTAACCGGTTTACATGGCCATCACTGGGTAGTATTCTCGACGCTAGCGGCGGCGGCTACGACGACCACTGCTGTCCCCAATAGGCTGCACTGGCAGCTTAAGTCTGAACGTATTGTAAGGGAGATTTGCGCAGCACCTCCTCAAACTTGTCATGTGACGGTCCGATCGTCGTTACTGACGCTGTCCACCGTGGGCCCCGCAACATGACCGGCGAGGCCACGGTGACTCGCGCGTAAATCAGTTGATAGTGGTAGTAGACTTCCGCAGCATCTACCGCACTCTCCCTCGCCCACCTCAACCCGGTGTCAAGAGAGAGTCAAGAACACGGGGGCGGGATCGGACGCAGTGACTGACAAAGCTAAACAGCTTGCCTGCGCGTGCCCCACGCATGACCGGGCTCCCCACCCAGCACATCGGGATTTTCCACATAGGGGTGGGCGGTCCGGATCTCACATACGTGAGCGTGCCATAGAGGCCACATTAAGGGGAGCCATTCCAGTCTGACTCTCCGTTCTGAGAGGACCCAGTTACCCTGTCAGCCTTCCAAGACGCGCCTTTTAACGCACCATAATAGTTAAAAAGTGCGTCAGATTTTTTATAGTGAGGGAAATACTCTGCGTACCATAGGGCCGGAGTCCCAGAGTCGGCCCCACTCTCGCCCTTCTCCCAGACATCAGTCTGAGCCAGACAGTCGTCTAATGCGGCTAACAGAACTAAGCGACCCGTCTGCGCGTGCCACACACGACCTGGCCCTTCGCACAAAACACATTTTCACACAAGGGGGATACTTGGCGTGGATCCCAGTCGTGAGATTGCCGTAGAGATTTATCCCTGGAAGAGGGGTTACCCGTTAGCCCAACTGCCAGCTACCTGCCGCGTCCACAGGCGTCCAGCCAAAAACGCTGGAGGAGACAACGCCGACTATGCAGTCTGAATGGCTGTTGGAGACCTGTCTGTAGTCAAAATCCCAGAGCAACCTCATGAAAATGTTCGGCTACAGTTTTATGATCCATGCTACAACGTCCGCGGGGACCGACGCGCTCCGCAACCTTGCTCCAGTGGTGCTGGCGGATAGTAAGCGAGCTTGACATTTGCATTGGATGTTGGATTATGCGAACGTTTCTGAACCCTTGTACCCAAAGTCTCACGCCGCATAGTGTTTATCAGCACGACGTAGATATCTGCCGCCTGTCTGAGGTCCGAATCTCCTACTCAGGTGCCCAAAAAATAGAGATTTGGCGAGTCAGCCCCCACTTCCACCCTGTGCTACAGCGGCCCATGTGACTCTTCCAGTAGTCACAATGTGACGATCGGCCTCGCAACAAGCGAGCCGTGCACTAGTGGCATGGGAACCAGTCAATTACCGAGTGACTTACGTTGGGTTAAGGGGTCACTATATGAACATCGCTGTCGTTTCCGTGTGCGCACCGACATCATCTGCCAAACAGCGCGATAAAGGGGCCTACTAGCGGCTGCTGTAGTTACTTGTGATCTGCTTATTGTTGCCGGGGCCTGGAACAGCCGGACTGGACCTGTCTACTCTTCAAATAATCACTTTATTTGTCGTCCTTGACTTAGATCTCGATGCAACAATGGTGAGATGCTGAATTTTGCTGATTAGAACCGACTGTTTGTCACCGACACAGGCTTACAGCATCGCCACAAACACCTGCTGACCTGTTACTCAAACAACGGTCATCGGCCAGTCATATTGACTGCATTCTAGTTCGTTCAAGGTTCCGCAGCTGGATTCACAATGTCAGATCGGTGCGTTGTGCCGAAATGGGCAAAACCCATGAGACTGACCATGTTCCCGTTCGCACGTACCTGAAGTTTCACCTCTCATCTACACCTACAGTGCCGCGTTCACTACGCCTTGATGTCACCAAACTTCGACCACCCAACACCGCCGAGGCCCTTAGCACAGATGTCCGGTCCCGTTTTACGACCCGAGCTGAAGGAGAAGACAGTGGTCAGTGGTCATCATTAAAGTTAATAGTCTATGGTGCAGCTGATAAAATCTGTACATCCTTCCAGGAATGCAGCAGTGACTAGATCGGTGGAAGAACCTGTAATTGTCAGCTCACACCGCTGGGGCCTGTTACCGCAATAATGATTCAACTCCGAAGAATGACGGCAGAATCAGCTGGGGATGACCGATAGAAACATTGGGCTAAAACAGCGACTTCCATGGAGCAGGCCTCAAACGTTGGTGACACTCGAAAACTGTACCAAATTATCTGTCAGGTTAGTTACAAACCCTAGGTCATTAGTGATGTGAATTGCGACTTTACTGTTGACAGCTCGGCCAAGTCGATCTCTGACGTGATCACTTCGAGCACCTTCTCAACCTCGATAAGCAACCCAACACGTCCTCACTCTTCTCCGCAGCGGAGTTTTATCTCAGTCCAGCCTATGCAGTGTCATGCGACCCCTCTTCTGAGGAAAAAGTTGTTGATGCAATACAAGGGCTGCGCGACAACAAGGCACCCGCAGGGGACGGTCTTCCTGCTAGAATCTACAAGTCTTGTGTAGACACTGACGCCCTGGCTCCATGTGGTGATTACGCAGACGTGTACAGATGGAGTCGTTCCTAATGACTGAGGCTTGGACATCCTGAAGCCTGTCTTCAAGGAAGTAGATTAGATAAGGCGCAAGAACTACCGTGACAGTCTCACCGACGTTGCCAGGAGGGTCTTCGTTGTTGCCCTTCTCATCCGATTCCAGACTGCGCGTGACTCATAGAACGAGGCCCAACCAAGCCGAATTCTGAGCCGGGCGTGGTAGTGCGGACCAACTATTCACACTGCGGCGCATTCAGGAATTCCGTTATGGCAACCAACAGCCATCTGCTTTGTTGACTTCGTCGCCGCATTCTATTCCGTTCATCGTGAGTCTATGTGGCGAATAATGGGACCAGATGGTATGCCGGCCAAAATTATTGCCGTAGTCAAAGCCTAATATCGCCCCTCTAGTGCGAGAGTTCTGGTCCGTAACAATCTGTCCCAACCGGTCGATATCCAATCTGATGTTCGACAAGGTTGTATGCTATCGTCTATTTTGTTCAACTACGCCATTACTGAATCCTCAGAGGGGCTCTGCACGATTTTGACAGTGTTTATTAGGCACCCGTTCGCCGGCTGACTGGTTTTGACTACGCTGACGGTATCGCCTTGTTAGTTCCAATCTTTGGTGATCTACAGTCCGTGGTGTCATGGGTGGATGAAGTCTCTACGTCGGTCGGTTGATCCATAAAGACTGGGAAGACCAATTTGTTCTCGAGCCGCATCCCTGACCAAGAGAAGGCACTCCTTGGGATTAATGGCCATCAACTCGAAGAGGTGAACGGCCTCAAATATCTCGGGACGAGGCTGTTGCCCAATGGACCGAGTAAGGACATTGTCCTCTAATCGATACTGCCCGCAGATTTTTTTCAAATTCCTAGAAATCGTCTGTGGACCCGACGCAACATCTCCATCACCAAGACTATTCGCGCGTACCGTGCATCCGTCTGGTCAGTCCTACTCTACTTTGGTAATGCTGGGCTTTGCACGTGAAAAATTATCGAAAACTGAAAGTATTTGATCACCGTTGCGTGGGAGCCATCCGTCGACTGAAGTGCACCAACTTCATCTCCAAAGAGACAGTTCGCACTTTCTCCGACAATATCGCGAGGATATTTAAGACCATCTGAGAAAGGCAACTGAGTTTTGGGCAGGTTCTCTGTTGCCCGCCTCACGAGCTCAGTTGCATTCCCCTCAATCTGGCTTCGTTGCCCACTTGGAGGCGTTGAAGAGGTCAACTCTAGACCTGCCTTGACGCAATTTTTACAAGACATGGAAGTGGTTCTTGGACCTTCGGTATTCGGTCTCTGTCGCTAGAGAAAAAAGGTGGATCGGGCCGTATAGATTTGTTTTCGCAGATCGTCACCCGTGGAGACGTACAATAAGTGACACCACCGAGGCCGGCTAGATCAGGAGTGATCACAGCCGTACCAAGTACAAGTAAATACACAGGGGATATGTTAAGAAGCCGTTAAGCCTGACCCACAGTCCCCCGGTCGACTGCGAGGTCTATGGTGTATCGTTAATTGGTAATATTCCATCTCACGATGTTTAATGCGTAACGGTAGATTTTAGTGTGCCAACTCCAGTATAGTGATGAAATGCCATGAAGGATCGTGAAGATGGGATCCCCAGAGTCGACGTCACTTTCTCCTCCCTCATCTATGCACCAGTCGATTGTCCAAGCCGGTCAGTCAAATGATGTTAAGATGGGGCGCAGGAGCTGACAGAGCTAAAACAACCCGTCCTCATGCGTCACAGATACAACCTGGCCCCACACAAGACACGAAGGGGTGAACAGCTCGGATCTCACATGCTCTAGTGCCGCATAGACCACGTGGAGAAACCCACCATTTAACAGTGGCAAGACAGTCGATGCCGCTGGAGATGGGTGTGAGCGCAGTAACTGACAAAATTAAGCCGCCCGTCTGGCCTTGCCACACACGACCTGATCTCTAACGGCACTCGAAGAAACGGAGTTCCTGAGCCTCACGCAAATTTGAGCAAGTATTGAGAAGGGACTATTGAACCTGACCACGGTTCACCGGAGGAGGTCCGATTCATCCATTCATTTGGCAACCTTCCAAGTCACGACTTTTGGTCTCTTGTGTTTATTTTAGTGAAGAAAGTGTGCCAGAGTCGCGTTTCGTCAGTCTTCCTCCTGTGTGCCAGTGGCAATTCTGATTTAAGCCACCTGGAAACGAGAGCGGACACAGCAAATGGCATGGTACAATGCCCCTTCTGAGTCTTAGCACTCTTTACGTCCTAATGCAAATGCGCAGTCCCTCCAACTCGAGTCTTTTTGACTTTTGCCTGATAATGTCTTTTGCGGACCCTTGGCCATTACTTACTGGTTACAGCAAAGACCTTTGCTCTAAAACCCACCTTGTATGTCTGACTTATACGATGTGATAGTTACTGCTGGCGTGTATTTCTGTATTCTTTGGGAGCCGTCGGACTTTTTACTGCACGCCAGAAAGCACAAAAAGCCACGTACGAAGCTAAGTAGGTTTAGAATGGACTTTTCATCAGCCTCTCATTGGAAAGGTCGGACCGAGTCAACTTCCATTTCTGGTTTAATCATACCAGTCATTCTTACCCCTAGCCAACATTGCTACCAGAAACGAACATGGCATGTGGACTTCGGAAGTGGTACACAGGTGAGGTCAAGCGTTGAGTCACCAACACCACGGGGACCAGACAACGTGTGCCTCGCGTAGACAGACTGTTCAATTCTGCCGGCCATTGCTACCAACCCTACTCTTAGTCGGCTTAATTCTGAAGTGCCACCGGTGCTCGGGAGGACGCAGAGAGTGTGAAGGAAGTCGACACGAGGGATCCCATCCTCTCAGGGAATCATGACATTCCTCATCACAATAAATCTGACGCGTTTGAATCTATGACGATGCGCCTTAAGTCGTGGCCTGCAAGGTTGTCATTTGACTGGACAAGTCGGTCCTTCACACGACCGAGAGTCAGGCTGCAATGGTTAACTAGTGTGACCTGTGTGGCATTCTCGCCTACACGAGATCTGAAACACCCCTCATTAAATGTAGCCTAGCGCATCTGGAACGATGACCAGCAGATCGCGTGCGGCACGCGTCGACGGGCCCTTCAGCTTTGTCAGTCACCGCGTTCGCGCCCGCCACCGGTCGTGTAGAATTTGTCCTACCGTCGGAACAAGGTGGACAGACGATGAGTGAAGTAGACGCTGCGCAAGACTACTTCACCATGATGACGTTGACGCTCAAGTCAACGCTGGTTGGGCATTTCGCGTTCACTTTTTGAATATTCACTTGCTCCTAGAAGTTACCAGTGTAACAAATTAAAGTACAGCCGGCTGAAACCACCGCTTTAATTTTTAAAACTTAAAGCGTTCCTGCGTCTTTGTGAAGAACGTAATCATTTGCACATTGTCCCACCTGATTTGCGCAGATCATGAATGGACTCGGAAATTTGCAAAGGCTCTCTTCATGGGCTTTTCTGACCTCGATTAGTTCCATCTGGCAGGCAACGGTTCTGAAACATGTGGGTGTAGTCTGTCGTAGTTATTAGCGCGGAATAAATCGCTTGGAGAAAAATAACTGTCGATTGTCATCCCAGAATATCCTGTTCATAATAAACTAACTTAGAAGCATATTATGCATAAAAGGGCTTTTTGCAGCACGGGTTAGGCGAAAAACCAAAATGCGCAAAATGATCATCTAGGTTGCCGTCATCACATCACTCGCTTTGTATGTCTGCCGTTGTTTCATTGCATCTTGCATCTTTTGTTTACCGTTAGGATGACATGATCCATTCACTGGAACGGTCCAAGCCCACCGTTAATGAGGACGATCTCAAGAAGTTGCGCAAATTCACCGAAGACTTCGGACAGGAAGGTTAAACCCTACTTTGCCAGTGGTGAGACGAGTCAGACTGCAACAGCAGATGTGTGTGTGCGTGCATGCGTGCGAGCACTGTGCATTGTTATCTTTTTCACCGCCGAACGTCATTTGACAACCATTTTGACTCTGCCTCCACTCTCCGTATCCCTGCCCTCGCAGTCGCCACCGCTGCTATCCCCCTTTTCTCTTTACCCTGTTAAAAAGTTACTGACCTTCGCCCGCGCGTCCGTCCCCTGGTATTCGCTCATGCAAGTGAATACTTGGACGTGTCGGGAGCTTGTCACTTGTATTTTAATACGGCACACACACGCCTTCAGCCTCCCGTCTTTGCTGTGTTCCCTTCTCACCGCGTTACTCGCCGTCTGCTACCCTTACTTTTGAAGTTATTTTCTCGAAGTGCGGTCCTCCCCCATTACCCCTCCCCCCCGTTTCACCATTCATTTCTCTCCGTCAAGTGTGGCGCGCACCCCTTACAGAATGTGCGTCTGTTTACCGCCAACTGTACGCCTCCGCTTTGTGTATGTGCGTGCACGCGTAAACAGCCCTCTCGTTCTAATGCATTCAGATTCGATTTCTGCCTGCCCGACCGCCGCATGTATTCAGGCCCCTCAAAATGTCTTCAAAAACCATCCAGTCTCGGTCTTTTCCGAAACTATTGGGCACGTTTTGAGAATCGGCCGCCCAGTTGGTACACTTGATACCTCTCCCCTTGTCCGTGTATCCTCGACGACCTGTGCGAACCCTTCTATGTGACAAGATCCGGCATAATCCGTCGTCAACTGATGGACTCTGGGACAGTTATGAAGACTAAGCCGGCTGCGCAGCAGGACACCCGAGTTCTTGGTAGATCATCAGAGTGTAGATAAGGTGAAAGTACGCAGAATCACATAGACAGGCGTCACAGAACTAAAATTTTAATCGTTGATGATGTCGGAGGGGGCTGATGCTCATCGGCCTGGCAGAACCCATGAATGGACTGCGGTTTTAGTGCCTAAGGGTCGTATTCACGGTGGATCTCGTGCATACACAGGGAGGGAAGTGTTTCTGGCACCTTTCTTCCATCCCCGAAGCCGCTGTAGTAAGCCTTATTCAGGTGGTGGAGTCTAAAGTTGGTCGGACCCTGTGGTCCTAAATAAGCACGCCAGATTTGATTACTCGTGTAAAACCGTACTCTGGACATCAGAATGTGTGGGATATTTCATTTTCTAAAAGAGCCCGCAAGAAAACTAGGCCGGTTTCCATAGGAAAGGCGTCCATCGGTGAGATTACAGAACACGCTCGTGCATATGGCTGGCTGACGGCCGCTAATAAGCCGACAGCAGCCGTCCATGTCTTTGGCAGTACTCATTCCCTGAATTACAAATGGTCATCCTACCTGGCAGTGCCCTGCACAATCCCAGTTCCACAAGTTAAGGACAAACAACTCGTTATCTCGAAGAGGGTCAGGCTAGTAGAAAATACTCAGAGCAGGGCTTCACTCATTGAATTCTCAGACGGGGTAGTGCGTAGCCGGTGGTTCTGTCCCTAACCTTTCCTGAATGCTTAGATTCGCATGTGAATATGGAGAATCATATCTTGAATCCTACTAATTGTCCTAGGCTCCGTGCCCCACTCGGCAAAAGTGGATTCAGGGAAGGAACTGTTTTCCGCGTCCACACACCGCATTTAAACCGGAATTTCAAGCCCCTCTTGCCAGTACGTAACACAGACGGACTAGTAGTGGACTCTAGGAGTGGTTATTCTGACTAACACTTCAGTAACTTCATCACCAGGCGAAAACTTGTCTTTGACAGCTTGTTTCCAACTCGAGCGTCTTGGAGTTTAAGCTGTTTTAATCGTTTTGGTCTCTCACGGTGCTTCTCATTGTCATCCCTATTATGTATAGTGCAAAAAGCAAGTCCTACGAACCACCAAAGGGAAATTCTTAGTTTTTTGTCGCCTATCACTGTTCTGGTAATCAAGTCACTTGAGGTCTTCGTGTTTAACTGCCTAAACTATGGCTTCTTCTCTAGGCACCATTTGTAGGAAAAACTGGTCGTAAACGATTTTGACTGATATTTTCTCTAACTAGTTGTTTTTAGTTCAGTAGACGACCACATTCCGCCTGATTCTACTACAGACCAGTGAAAGAAAACGAGTGTCACCAAAATTGCGATGGCATGCCTCAGTCTCGTACCTAACTCATTGTACACGTCCCTGGCTCTACAACATCCCCCCTGCCTTTAAAACTAATTTGCCGCATATGGCTTTTTCGCTCGAATGCCGCACCGCGGAAGTCAAGTCAAATCGCTGACAGGCACAGTGTGACACCATGGTAGGCCGAACCCCCTCGTACTGAAACGCTGATGCATGTGGACTGTTGTCTAAGTAACTTACTCGGACTCGGTTCGAAATATCTGTTCCCCATCCCCTAATTCTCGCGAACAGTTGTTCAGTTCAGTTTTATTGAGGGAAATGTAGGTCATCACCTTTGAACTTCCTATTTGTTTACAAGCAGCTGAAAAATCTCAAAAACTGGAAAAGGTATAATAAAGGTAACAAGTAGTTGGAAAAGCGCCAACTCTGGACAGATAAACAAACTGTCTCGAGTGTTAGTGGCACGAGCAGTAGTACAGTGTATTTTCTATTGCAGTTTTTGCTCCTTTTCGAGTTTTCCGTCTACCTACCTCGCCACAAATGCAAGACTAGATGGAATCAGGTATAGCCGGCTGGAAGCACGTGAAACCCTATGTTTTCTTTTCTCACTCATTTCCTCAATCCTCCTTGTTGCTCCCTCTCCGACAGACGGACTTTCTAAAGGTCATTCCGTTTACCATATTGCTTACAGAAACACAACCGGGCATCTCCAGTTAAAGCCTCCCGCATTGAACAGGTCGGGAGAAAGCCACAAAAAGTTTACTAACAAACAGATACATTGACAATTTATCAGAAGGTTACTATCTAATCAGTTTTTGTGTGCAGAACAGACGTGTGCTTCAGGCTCAGACTGGTTGTTTAGCTTTGTCAGTCACTGCGCCCGATCGCGCCTTCGGTCTTCTTTGCTCTCTCTTGACACCGGGTTGAGGTGACTGGCGGAGAAGAGAGTACAGTGAGTGCTGCGTAAGTCTACTATCACAATAACCTCATTTACGCGCAAGTCACCGTTCTCTGTGCTCACCCTGCCATGGGGCACACGGTGGATAATGTTGGTAACGACGGTTGGACTGACACCTCATTGTCCTGCAATTGTTGAGATAGGGGACGTTACCCAATTAGCGCCAAGTGGGCCTATTCTGTGCTGAACCCTTGGATGTTGGCTCAGCTAGGCCGTGGTCGTATGCACTAGCGTGTGATCTTCACAAGCGAGTCTTCATGTGAGTGACTAAGCCTGCGGCCGTAACCGATTATGTCAGCTCTGGTGCTGATCGACTCTTCTACTATTGCATGAACGCGCGTCATTGGTCCACCGCTCCTAAACCAACTCAGGCGCAACAATGTAATCTCGCTCGACGAATGGCGGCAGGCTAGACCAACTGAGATAGCACTAGTCAGGTTCTATGGATTACCCTAAATCCACAAGCCAACGTTCCTGCGGTCAATCGTTGCCCTCAAAGGCAGCCCTTCTTACAATTTAACCAAATGGAGGACCCGAAAACTAAACATCCTTTGAGAGGGCTCCAAGACCTCTGTCGATACGTCTTCCCAATTCCTCGCCGACACCCGAGGAAAAACTGCCCAACCCGACCAAATCACGGTACCATACGACGTAGTCCCACTATTCGCATCTATCTAACCGGGCTTGGCGAGCGATGTTGTACGCAAACGGGTCGAATATAAGTACGAAGAAACGGGGATTGGCCTCTAAAGATCGAGCATCAACTGCAACACTTTGTATTCTACCGACGAACCTTTTTCACCCACAATGACAGGCCATATGAAAAAAATCAAAGAACGCCGACGGGTTTCCCAATATCCAGCCCAGTTGCAGAGTTGGCCCTGCAAGTGGTGGAACAAGTTGCTTTTAACCACTGCGAACCTGTATTTTGGCGCCGGTACGTGGGCGATGCATACGTCATAACTGAAAGGGACAGGTTTTCTGGATTTGCATAACGGCATATCCCCCGACATTCAGTTCACAAAAGAAAAATGAGAAAGCCGAACAGTTACCGTTCCTTGACGTTCTTGTCACACGCAGACGCGATGGTAAACTTAACACCACAGTGTATAGAAAGACAACTTACACAACCCAGGTCCTCAACTATCATAGCAACCACTAAATGGTGCACAAAGCTGACCGTGTTAGGGCGCTCTTCGAAACGGCAAAAACGGATTGCAGCAAACCGAGGCGACTAGTACTAGAACTAAAGAATCCCGGGGCCATTTGACAAGGAACGGATACCCAAACAACTTGATCAGGCGCTACCTCCGAACGCGTCCGCGATGAACAAACGGGAGAGAGCTACCAAGACTTGGACGCTCTCTTCCGTATGCAAAAATGTGCCAGAAGCAACAGTATCCTCCATCTTCTGACAACTGCTATCCGCGGCAGAATCATGTAGATAAAGGGCCGGCTGTATGCAAGTGTGCAATCGGGCGTAGTTTATCAAATTCAATGCCATAAATGCCCCTGCGATTATACTCGTTGCGAATGTTGGAGTACAAAAGGGCCGTTCGGAGAGGTGACCCACTGTCTCAAGTCGTTACAAACAAGCTGTTGGAAGGCTATGCGTTCGACTTCGCGAGCGCGCGGGTACTAGTGCGAGCCAGCAACGAGACGGGGTGGGAATTGCTGGAGGCGTGTGTGTCTGGTAGCAAATGCATCAACAGGCACGTCGATATACCCGCCTGCTATCGTGCGTTACGCCCACGTAGTCAGGGGGTGTGTCAAGAAGAGCGGAGGCGGGAGAGGACGCAGGTAGCTGCCACGGTGTAAACCCGCACCTAGGCGTACCACCACACCCGCTGGCCCATAACGGATACTGACCAGGATTTTGTACCGCATGAAGAAGGAGGTCGGCGC